ATGTGGATTTCTGACAAACATAAAACATTTTTCGGGTAAAATTGGACAGTTGGTTCCTCCAGAAGTTGCTGCACAAATATCGGTCTTAAAGTGCATTTGTCGTGTGGATAAAAAGTTTGTAATGTGGATTCTCGAGTCCACAATGGCTTTATCGGAGAAAAACCCTCTATTTGCAGCTTCTGTAGGCAGTGAAACCCTGGGGTTTCAAGCCAGATTTTTGTGAAACAGTTAGAATAAACTAAACATTCAGTATTTGTAATGTGGATTCTCGAGATGAAAATTACAGCGAAACAAGGGGGTTTCAAGTTGCATTTTTTATAGTAGTGAGAATCAACTAAAGATTCAGTTTTTGGAATGTGGATTGATTGCTCCAGATGTTGCTCCACACACATCGGTCTTAAAACGGATTTGTAATGTGGATGAAAGGTTTGTCATGTGGATTCTCAAGTCAATTTTGGCTTTTATAGACGAACAAAGTGAGATTAATTTGCCCAAATCAATCCTCTCTGATGGCGCAGCTCTACTCTTTAATGAGACCAAACCACCAAAGTTAAGGACGGTGATGAGGAATCGAAACCTTGAGCAACGTTGCCGCATCGCCATTTTTTCCCGCTAACTCCGACTAACGAACAAAAGAAGCTCGCTGGACAAAACGGTGCTAATCCGGGACGTTTTAAGCGGCTTTTCATCAACAAGCAGCCACCAGACTGCCAACGATTTCACTTAGGGAACACGCTAGAGCGGAACGAACAATCGCTGCTGCCTAAATTAGCCGACAAAATTCCCTAATCCGATGTCCGCTTTAATGGAAACTTAAATCCGCATAATATCCATGAATAAATCATGGAAATATTAAAAATCTGATCCAATTGAACGGCAAAGTTTCGTTCGGCTCCAGTTGGAGCGCTTTCGACGCCAGAAACTTGCCTGATTTGACCGACTGAGTCGGGGAATTATTCATCGTTTTGGGAATTTATTAATTAATCAGGTGTTGGGTTGCCAGTTTTATTAAATTAGTCAAAAAAAGGGATTTTTCGCGATTGCCTTCAAGTTCAGCTGAGTAAATGTGAGCACAATGAGGCCATCAGGGCCGCTAAGGGACAGATTTGAATAATTTATGGGTGGCCCTTAAGGGCATCCGGCACGTTTTCGCGCTATCTTAGGCTTGACCACATATATTCGGGCCGAAGGACTAAATCCTAAAAGCTTCGCCATGTCGTCGCATCAGCGCTATTAAGGAAGGCCTGAACAGAAGCAATGGAGGCCATTCCATCAGAAAACGTTAACTGTTTGGCCCAAAAACCTTGG